CACTCCTAGGAATTTACCCTAAGAATGCAGCAGCCCAGTTTGAAAAAGACAGATGCACTCCTATATTTATCGCAGCACTATTTACAATAACCAAGACATGGAAGCAACCTAAGTGTCCATCAGTAGATGAATGGATAAAGAAGATGTGGTACATATACACAATGGAATATAATTCAGCCATAAGAAGAAAACAAATCCTACCATTTGCAACAACATGGATGGAGCTAGAGGGTATTATGCTCAGTGAAATAAGCCAGACGGAAAAAGACAAATATCAAATGATTTCACTCATATATGGAGTGTAAGAAAAAAACTGAAGGAACAGAACAGCAGTAGACTCACAGAACCCAAGAACGGACTAGCAGTTACCAAAGGGAAACGGACTGGGGAGCATGGGTGGGAAGGGAGGGACAAGAGGGAAAAGGGGCATTACGATTAGCAGACATAATGCAGGTGGGGGCACAGGGGAGGGTTGTACAACACAGAAGACAAGTAGTGATTCTATAGCATCTTAGTATGCTGATGGACAGTGATTGTAATGGGGTACATGGTGGGGAATTGATGATGGGGGCAGTCTAATAATCATAATGTTCCTCATGTAATTGTTAATTAATGATACCAAAATTTAAAAAATGCATGTTATATGTATAAAATTATATGTGTAAGAACATTCATAATAGCATTGTTCATAATTGCTTAAAAATTGGACATAGTCCAAATGGCCATTAATGATGATGGGCAGTTAAATTAACTGTTCTTTAATCGTAAAAGGCCTTACTACATTGTACATACTATACTACAGACATTACTGTACAGGAGTGAATGTGTACGAAGCTAAATATTCAAATGGTTTAATATTTGCAACATGAGAGAAAAATTAGACATAATGTATAACTCATTTATTTACAGGTAACAGAGGCAAACTAATCTATATTATTTTGGAATGCTGACATAGATGGATAAAAAAATACTTGAAAGAAGAAAATATATAATTAACAGAAATATTCAGGGAGTGTTAATTCTGGAAATGGTGAGGAGGGAGAAATGATTAAGAATGGAATGGGGGGAAGAGTATGTGTGAGGCGCCAACACTGTTCTAGTTCTTGACTTTATAAGTAGATTACAGATTGTTCATTTTATAATTATTCATTACACTGAATATGCATAATTTGTGCACATTTTTGCCTATTTAGTATTTTCCCATTAAAATGATTTTTAAATTGTTATCTAAAGTACTTCTATTGCTTTGCTATAACTTTTTTTGTTATAAAATAATAATCATTTGGTTTCAATGTAAGCAAAATTTTAAGGCAAAGGAGTCTAGGTTTTATTCCATTTGACAAGATTACTACACAAGCAGAAAAGTAGTAAGCACTAAACAATGATGTATATAGCGTCCACTGCCAAACATGTAAGAGGTAAAAGGTAGAAAATTAGTAAATTTAATGATAGTTGAAAATTACAAACCTCTTATAAAATTTTAAAATACACAATACACACTAATTTTTGATTCTCGGTTTTAAAAGAAATCATACATGGGTGATAATCTTTCAAGGTACCTTTACAAAAGGAAGAATTGGAATGATTTTAGTTAAGATTGTATAAACAGAATGCAAAAAATAAATGGTACTATTTTACTAAAAAGAAAAGCTTTACTAATGTAAATATATGAATTCTTAGTATTTTGAATTAATTCTGATCTTAAGAGAGAAACATTATTTCCAGCAAAAATATGTAGGCAGCATTTATCTGGGAATCCAAAGGCTCTAAATTAGAGGGTAGTAACCAAAGAAACTTTAAAAAAAATACCCATTTAAAAATCTCTCATCTATACTACAGAAAGGGAAAATTTTAATGATATTCCTTTTCTATCAACCGGTACACTGTTATCAGGACTACACAATTCCATAACCTCTTCTGAGAACCGGCAGAGGCGTTGTGTTACAGCAACAACGCCAAGACAGGGAGAGAAATTCCACTCGTCTTCCCAGCTTGGTCCCTCCTCAAAGCCACGCCAAAAGGACTGATGATCCTAATACCCAATACATCTAATAAGTAATACACGTAATGCCAGAAGTTACCAAAATTCACACATGGAGTTTGTCTCTCTTCCTGGATATGTCCCCTGCTCTGATCTGATGAAGCAGTCACCAGTCATCTTGCTGAGGCTCCGCAACTCCCATTTCTAACACGAGGACGGTCACATTCCCCATCACTCCCGGGTGTACTCACCAACCCGCCACAGATCTGGTCGCATCAGTCCTCTCTGAGCTCGTCAGGAATTCGTCGGTAGGCTCCAAAGGAGGCCACGAGACAGAAGGAGCCCGCCCGGTTTCTGGCATGCGGGCCTAGACAAACCTGCTCATGTCCCCGCATTCCCAGTCTCCACAGCCTTTCGTCCGCCCCCTTTCGAATCGCCTTTTACCACTTGGCGCCGCTGGCCTTCGTTCTGTGGCTAGCCTATCCCACGTTACCTCTCACAGAAAAGTCTGCCCTTACCAGGCCAGAGCGGGGATCTAGCGACCGCGTGAAACGCTTCACAGGTTCCCCTCACCGAGTCGCCTGCTCAGCCTCACCTGCAGCTGCCGACGACACACCGCTACTCCCAGCATGCCTCGTGCACGCACCGCCCTCCCACTCCGCCCCCTCCCGCCCAAGCACGTGACCTCCTATCGCCTCCGTCACGCCCACTTCCGTTCCTCCACTTTCCCTTTGGAGGAAGGAGGGGGTTGGTGGTGTTAAAGAGTAGAGACTTCCTCCCACTCTCCGCCCCCGCCCCACTACCCCCTGCTACAATGTCTTCCGGGTCACGAGCGCCTCGGAGCCTTCTGGGAAACCATCTCATTTCCTCCCCTCCCCCTCCTCCTGTCTTCAACCAACCAGCCTCCCGTCAGAGGGGGACATGCGCAGTGAGTGCCTCCCGTCTCTTCTACCCGAACCCCCCCTCCCCCCCCAAGCAGAGAGACCCCAGCAGCAGCAGCAGCTGATGATGAAGAGAGAGGCAGTGGCAGAGGGGGGGCACCTTTTATTTCTATTTTTAAAGGGACAGGACACTAATTTTACCCCACTTCAACCTTGAATCGAGGAGGGTGGGGGGGAAGGCGGCTGAGTTCCTTCCCCCACCCTCAAGCCCTGAGACCTGAGAAGGGGATTGAGCCTAAGAGAGAAGGAGAAGGAGTTTCTTATTCTTCGAAAACCCCCATCCACGACTCCTACCCCCTCACCCCTCCACGAGCCTCCCTCCCGACCCCCCACCCTCCTCCTCTCTGGCCGTGCGGGGATAGAAAGCGCCCAGAGCCTCTTAGCAACACAGCCCTGCTCTGCCGCCGCTGCTTGGCCCTGGCTGGAGACGTCTCACTACACCCGGGAGCAGCCGCTGCCCCAGCGCTCCGCCGCCGCCGCCTCCACTCCCCCCTTTATTACCCTTTGTGTCATCCTCCTCAGCTCCGGGGAAGGCACTCAAAAGTGGGGGGCAGGAAAGGTAAGTGCGTCTGCGGGGGCTCCGCCGCCTGCCTCTGGCTCTGACTTAACTCCGGGGCAACAGCACCACATACGCAGTGGAGCTCGGGGTGAGGAGAGGGGGTGGTGCTGGGGGGTGGGCAGGGTGGAGGGGGCGTTCGTCCTGTCACGGAGGAAGGGCACTTTTATTTTTATTTGCTGTTGTCAAAAGTGGTTTCTCTCCTCCAGCTAACAACCGATTGTGTCTTGCTCCAATGGGGGAGAATACAAAAACAACCCCTCCTTCCTCCAGTGAGGCGCCAGGGAAAGAGACAGAAAGAGCCGCACTTTCTAGATGTCACTTAAAAAAATCCATTTGAATAGCTTTTTTCCTTTTTCCTCAGGAAAAGCTCCACTGCATTTGTTTCTGAGTGGGAAAATGTCGGGATCTGGATTGTTATGGGAACTGCTTATCCATTTGTAACCTGAGTGTTTTCCCCTTTTTGGTTCTCTATGTGATTTGGATATTGACTTAAGTGTTGGGACAGACTCAACTGGGTTTTGCTTTCTCGGTTCAATTTTCCTTTTTTTCATTTTTTCTGACTTGCGTAGAAAATTTACGATTTTTAGTTGATAGAGGCCTTTGGTCAGGTTTTGACTTGTATTACTGCTTTTTTTCTTAAATGTTTGTTTCATATATCATATAAAGTTCAAAGCTTAAAATGCTTAAAGTTTTAAGTACCACTGGTGTTATCTCTTCCCACATACGTTCCTGATATTTATTTTCCATAAGATGAGAATACCAGCTATTTCATAATTAATATGGGTGTTTTTCTAATCTTTGTAACTTGTCCGAACAAGTAATCCCTACTGAAAACTTTATGTTGTTCTGGCTTCATGCAGGACTAGACCTCTCCATCAGTAGTTTACTGGATTGGTACCACTTTCAATTTTAACTGAATTATTTATTTACTATTGTAAATTGAGATGAGTTTTTCATCTCTTCTGGTACTGAACCAAATTGCTCACTATATGTGAAAGGAGACAAATTTCTAAAATATGTTTTTATGAGTCAAATCATGAAGCTGCAGTCTATTCATTGTAGTTAGATATAAATTGAAAGATAACTCCAGAATTAGGTTTATAGAATAACAATCTTGATAAAAATCACTGTTCTCTGTTTTTACATGGTCTGTTCTCAGTGAATGGCTTTCAAATTCAGTGCTGTATTTTATTTCACAAATGTAGAAAGTACATATCCGACGTAGGCCTTTCACTCGGGCTTATATTGGAAAGTGGTATTTTTGTTTCATACATAAATTTATCCTTTCCTTGAAGATGGATGCACACATTCATAGACACACACACACACAAACACTCCCTCACACACACACACCCTTTTTGTTACTGCATTGGTATCTCTGATCCCATAATTTATGTCAGCAAAAAATATTCTTTTGTAAAGCCCCAATTTTGTGATCAGACTGACAATCAATATGAAAACAGCAGTTTGATCAACTACAAAAGGATTGAAGAAAAATAAATCTAGAAGGATATTTGACATAAATGTTATGGAGACATGATAATACTTCTGATTTTTTATTATCTTGATGATAAGGCCAAAACAATGTATTTTAGTGGCAGAAAAGCATTACATATGTAGAAACTTGTTCCTTAAAATTTTAATTACCAACTGTGTTCAAAAGTAGACATTTATACATAGGGGAAAAAATGCTGTGTAGCAGTAAACAATATGGTCTATTTCCCTCCTTTCTGTTACAAATTTGAACAGTGTCTTAACCTTTCTCGGGTGTGTAATTGGTGCACTTAAGCAGTAATCTGTGCCAAGTTTAAGTTTTTCTCCCAACAGCAATCCTACCATCTGTATCCGTCTAGGTTTTCTTATCTTCACCTTAATACCTCAGCAACCTTAACATAAGAGATAGAAAGTTGAAATTAGTGAAGAAAGAAATTTTGAGTGAAGTGAATTATATACCTAATTAGGGTGGAGGTTGCTCAGTAGGCAGCTGAGTACAAATTTAGTCTTGAATGTAATGCCTTTACATACTCTTATTTCTGTTTTCCTTTGAAAACATTCCTTTATATACCCCCATCCAAGGGTAACCTTATATGGTTTGAAAATTCCAGATTTCTTTGAAGTTGGATAATGATTTATGTTTGGAAAGCCTTGTATTTTTCCTATGGCTTATGTTTTTAAGTATTAAGATGTATTTTTTAATGAGATGGTATTGTGGAGATCACTTTGCCCAACTCTTCATTTTCCATATTGCTGAAGTTCAGAGAGCTTGAGGAACTTGGTTACAATGTTCCAAGGCCTGAAGTGGGCAGAGCTTGGACCAGAGAACTCAGATCTCTTGACATTCACTATACTACACTACTTAATTTTCCTTTGTCAGAAATGAAATTATTGTGCACAATTCTATGTATAGCACTCGAAGATTTTATATGGAGGAATATTTTCCAGAATATTAAGATGAATAGCTTTAAACCATAATTTTGTCTGTTTATAATTCAGTAATTTTTTTTGAGGTACTGATTTTTATCATTGTGATTATTGCTATTTTGAGAATTATTTCAGCTTTCCCTAAAATTTATTTTTTCTTACACTTCCAATTAATAAATATACTCTTACTTTTATATTAAGGACCCATATATATATATATACATATATATATATATATGTATATATATATAAGAGGAATGCCTATTCTGTTATAAATGTTTAGTTGTGAGTCTTGTTTTATTAACAGCTTAAGGCTAAAGATTTTTGTCTACTTAACATTCATATCTCTCACAGCACAGTGTCCAGTGCACAGTACCCTATTGGTTGATTGTCATGATTGGAGATATTTGAATTAGTCATATTTGAATTTCTTTACTGCCATGTGATAGTCCTTCCCTTTCCTCTTTTATCCTTTCTTACCTGCTACAATTTCTTCACTACCATGAAAATTTTTTTCTTTATTATGGTTCTCACTTTTTCTATTAGTCAAATTAAATCCTGCAAATAAGTAAGAACAAACCCCATCTAATCCTTCTTCAGGATGCAAATTGACAAAAGTGATTTATTTTAAATACAGGATAATCAAAAAAATTCCAATAAAAAATACACTAGCAAATGTTCAGAATACATTAAAATTTCATTTCATTGAGTGCTGCAATAGATTTTTGGAATGATTTAAACCGCTTTTACCAACTCTATAAAGCAACTGTTACTTAGGTGACATGTTTCCCTGACTTTGTTTTTTTGGTCCTTATCCAGACAATTACCAACTTGCCAGTTTTCTATGGATATGAAGATTTACTCCTAGTCATCAGTGGGACCCCATGAAGTCAGCCAGAAAGCCTATGTCCAACTTATGTACCTTTGCAAACTTGTCTGGATTTTGAATGTATGTGCAAATGAGATTGTACTAGCTATTCGTTAAACATCTACTGAGTATCTGTCTGTCAGGCACTGTACTAGGCATCTGAGAAACAAGGAGGGTTCCTACAGTTTAATGTGAAGAGATATCTTAGTTGTATTCCATAAGCATATTGGTGATATCTTTATTTTGATGCTTCTACCTGAGTAAATTTTATGTTAACTAAATATATACTGTTGAGTGGAAAAATACATGTTAGGAGGGATATTGCTGTCTTTTAATAAAATAGAAAATATGAAGAAAATTTTTCCACTTAATACTGTATTCAGGGGATTTCTACTGTGTATCATTCACTAATTTAGACCATGAAAATAGTCTATGTGGCTATCATTGCTAGTATTTTATTCTATACACTTATTTGAAAGTGACGACACCGTTCATTATAGTACTTATTAATTATTAAACAAACAAAAATCCAACTCTCTAAACTTAAGCTTTTTTTCCTAAAAAGTAACTTTTTTCTTTTTACATCTCATATAACAGATTATCTTTTATGGTTCATTGGAAGACATGACATTGTACATTATCATTTTGAGCATTTGAGTTATTTTCTACCATATTTTAAGCTGACAGTATGATTTAATTATCATGGAATAATTATGGCATGCACTATTTAGGAGTTTTGGAGTTTTTAGTGCATGCTAGATGTATTCTTCCAAGATCCTTATAAGAAACTTCTCAGTTCTAGTCCTAAATCTGAAGCAATTTTTAATCTTTATTGTGTGATATTGTTTCCTTGACTTTAGTAAAATGAGTTGGAAGTTTCTTAGTTAAGGGATGTTTCAAACACAAAGAATATCATTTTGGTTCCCGTCATGATTTTCAAATATGTAATTTAAAATATATTAGAAATATTTCCTTTGCCCTCTTTAAAATGTACCTTTTAGAATAATAATGATTCACAATTTAAAAGGAGGGAACCCCTGCTGGTACAGTGTCTTGTGAAGGTAAATAGACTCTTGAGGTTTAATTCTAATCTCTGTAATTCATTCTCAACTTTCTGTTTTAGTAACATAGTTAGCATTTATTATAAGTGCCTGTGATAAATGTATCAATCAATATCATTCCTTAGCTGTCCTGTGAACTTTGTAACATTGTTCCCATGTTAAAAATAGGGAAACCTGTTACTGACAAATAGCCTTTTATCATATAGCAACATAATACTCCATCAGGGGTAAGTTCATGATATTCTAATTCAAAACAATCAGAATATTTTTTGTAAGTTCATAAGTGCTTAGGCAAATACTAGTATTTTTTTTTTTTGACCCCAGTCAAAATCATGGCCCCAGTAGCTTATTGATCATGTGATGAAAAGTTTCTAAAAGTTTGCAAGGACAGAAAACGAATAAAAACCCAACTTTTTATAAGGAACATAGATGCAGACCAGTATGCAACTTGAAATAAAAAATACATAAAGTCAGTCTTCTTTTTTTATGGCAAAAATAACCCTAAGATATTCTACATATTGAACTTTCTTTATCTTGCATGATGTTAGATTTAGCATTTTGTTACTTGACATTTGGAGGTTCCAACAATTTGTGACCCAACGAATATTTAATTTAAAAATTCTTTATGTAACTGTTGCTAGTGGAAAACC